AAAAGCGGAAACAAACATTAACTACAGAGTTAACTGGCCTAAAACTAGTGTATCCAGAAAAGCAGTTATATACAATGAATCTGTTTCCACATCTGTGCTGTTGTTGCTATGGACATAAGAGAGGAAGAAATCAAAAGCAGTTGTTAAGCTTTCTAGTGCTCAGCTAAGATGTTACTGTGTTAAATATTGTTTTCAACTCGTATCTGTCTTCTCATTCTCATGTTAGGATGGCACTGACCAGATTTAAAACCTATGAATATTTGCCTATAAGCATCCTTTCTTTGAAGTACAAACTGCTCTTATATAAACAGAATATGCAACACAGCAAGGCAGCCTTATCTGCCAAGGAGCAAAATGCACAACTCCTATAGGCTTTGGAGTCATTCAAGTTCGCTGCAGAAGAGTACACAAGGACTGAAGCAAACAGCCCTGTAGAGACAACAGCTTTGGCTGTCATGCATGAACTCTCTCCTTTCCCTGTCCCATGACAAACCCTGACAAACTGGACAACTTCAGTTTATCTATGAGGCTTAGCAGCCAGGGGATTTAGCTCCGTGACAAGACCATACTCAGTGATGCATACGACGTATGACTTCAGTGGACACCGTCTCTACCAGACAGAGCATGACGCTGCTTGATTTATCTACTGCCAAGTGCCAGAAACTGGACTTGATTTATGAGAAAACACAAGAAGTTGCTATCAGCAACCTGTTAAGATCTACCAGAACAAAATAAGCGATAGCATTTACATTAAAACATTATGTAACGGCTTCAAAAGAGAAGACACATGCTGGCTTTCCAATGTAACCTCGATGAGTCAAGCCTCCAGGCCCAGCCGGACCAAGTCATTGGCTGAGGGTCAGAGATCCCACCTTCTTCCCTTCTCTCCCTCTTCTTATCCCTGCTCCCAGCTGTGCTTTCTACTTATTTAGGAGCTGACATTTATTGTACTTGTCTGCAAAACCAGTAAAATAATGGAAAACCAACAGCTTTTTTTGCTTGAACAGTTTTCTGCTGCTTTAATGAGTCGAACAGGTTCCCAGAGAGGTCTGATTAGAAGCAGAGATGGTGGAAGGTAAGGAACTAAAGCACAAGCCTGGCATAACGGGGGAAAATGGGAGGACACAAGTAAGACTTCCCTCTTTTGGCAGCTGTGAGCTATTACTTCAAGCCACCATATTTTGTGGAGCTGCATTTATGACTAGATCAATTACTCAGCCTAGATAAAGATTTGAAAGTGAAGGGTTAAAACTGGTACGATCACTTTGATGCATTAAACTTGGTTTTGTTCTGTATTTTACTTCACTGACTACATAAAATATACAGCAACAGACTGCAGGAACTACATAAATTAATGCAGAAAGACACAAAAGCACTATCAAGGTACCTGGAAAAAATGACTCTATCCCATTCATTTGCAGCTTTTTCAACAGCCTGGGATGAATTCCTGGGACATCTCTGATGGGAACTAGATTATCTTTGATACGTTTTTGCACTAGTTTGGGTTGAGCAAGCCACTGTGGTAAGAAGGGCTTCACCTGAGGTGAGGGAAAGGAGAATAACAAAGCGGTTCTGCCATCAAACAAGCAATGCCATACATAAAATAAGCCGGTAAGGATGCCTGTTCCTTCCTGACCATCATCAAAATTCAGTCAAGCTAGTTACCTTCTGCACTGGCTTTCTGTCATAGTCTCCAAGAACCACCAAACTGGAGGGCGGAGGATTTGCCTTTTCCTCCGAGGCTGCTAAGGACAGCTCCTCCTTTGTGCTTTGATTTCCTTCAGCTCTTTCACTGTTCTCTTTCTTCCTTGTTTCAGCTCGCTCTGTTTCCTCATCTCTCTTCTTCGTTTTAGAAGACTTATTTTTAAGGTTGCTTCTGTTTTCCTGTTGTTTGATGTCTTCTTCAGAATCTGGAATTTGGATAACAGAAATACAAAGCTACAGGTCAGAACGTTCTACAGAAAAGGGATGTAGGGAACATTTTACAACATAGGACTTAAGCAACAACTTGCAAGCTCCTCTCTTCCTAAATCCAAGTGCAAAAGCCAAACGATCCTTCGTTGGTATGGAAGCAACTGAAGGCTGAGGCGACATGCTTCCCTCCTTCCCTTACACTAAACTGATCCTCAAAGTTTGCCATACGGGGCTTTCCCCTAAAAAAGGGAATTACTCTAGGAACATATTAGGCAGAGGAAAACAAAATTTACCATTAGGTAAACTCGGCAAGGTACTCAAAGGGCAACTTGCGTCTACTTCTCTGTTGAGAACTGTCGACCAAAATGACCCCAGTTCATCGTTACCTGCTTCAGTCCTCTCTTGAGGCACTTTCGGTCGTCTTCGATTTTCTTTCTCCTTCTTCTTCGATGGAGTGCTGCCACCTGCTGCCTCCTCAGTACCCGCCCCTTCTTCAGAAGAGCCAGGAGGCTGTTGTCTCTTCTTTAGCTTCTTCTGTCCTCGCGCACGGGACTGCTCTTCGCTCTCCCTCTTCCTCTTTCTTTTTCCTTCCCCGGGTTCACCCCCTGGGCCGGCTCCTCCGGACAGCTCGCCTTCCCCTCCCTCGGGCTGCGCCTCCTGCTGCTTCTTC